TAGTATGTATAGTATAGTAGTATATATATATATATATATATATATATTGGAATATAATGGGCTTCGAGGACACTGTCCCGTTGAACCGTGTCTGCTATACAGTGCTGAGTGTACACAACTGTTTCTTTTCAAGTAGAACAGTGCTTTGGGTAGAGCTGTAGTGATTTAATACGTTGAACGCTAGCATAGTCAATAAACTACGTGCACGTATGATTACATACTACCATAGCCGTATAAGTTGGAGAGCGAGCGAGCATGCCCTATCCCTTACATCCGCATAAGTTGAACACTACCACCCTTGGGAGTGAAGGGTGACGAGTGGATGCAACACAAGCATTACGTACGCATCAACAGTAAAGTAAGTAAGGTAGACCCTGACAACACAGAAGAAGACGTCACTAACTGGCAGAGACATACAGCAAGAGAGACTGTATACTGGAGCAACCACTCGCTGTCGTACACCGTGATCTGCAGTCAGTGAGAGCCCATCCAATGGAGTTTATCATCGCCCCGAGACAGATACTTCCTATCTATGTTAATGCAAAGTGTGAAACCCATTACAAAGCATATAGCACCAGTGCGTGGCTATGTACATGTAGTGATGTACCTTCGGAACCTTCGTGAGAGTCGTCCCCAGACACTTCCTCAGAGTCGATTACATTGCTGTTTAGAGCAACCCCCTTCGCTTCACTTCCATCCACTCCGTCGCTGTCACTGTCCTCTTCGCTCGTGCTGTGATTAAATACAGACATAAACCGAATGTGCGATATTATTAGAGGTAGTTTACGATCGTGCTAACAAGTGTACGTATATATGACCAAACATGTAGACATGTCGGCATTGGCGATGCTGGATCGTGTGGGATAGCTTGGACGTCGTCGATCGACCAGATTCGTTAAATCAACACCGCACTATACATTCGCCAATAGGACTATGCATACCTCATCAGCAGCTATCAGATAACAACAAGCCACCCCCAAACCCGCACTATGCATTCGCCAATAGAACTATACATACCTCCCCAGCAACTATCAGACAACAACAAGGCATCCCCAAACCTGCACCTCGCGCCTATACATAAACACTGAACCGATGGCCAAGAGTATCTCATCGAAACCGGTCCAGTACTACAAATACTGACAAATACTTCAATCATTGCAGGACCCATACCTATCCACCCCTTGGTCAGTCGCCAGTGACGCCCGAGAGGTCTTCTTACCAGCATACTTGGGATCGCTCAATATAGATTCCATTCCTAATCCGGCCTGTACGAACGGGATAGGTAGGTGTAATCAGGAGGATGTGCAACTGAATATATATCACACACATACAAACCCTTGGGCGCAAGAGCACAATCGACCAGCGCAAACGATAAAACATATGTGCTGTACAAATAGGCTACTCCCCGTGGTAGACAATACGTGTATACTACTGGTAGATATCCAATCATCTATACGCACAAATGACACACATAACTCATATGTGAATGAATACACATGTACATGCATGTATCTGCAAATGATTATATATATACATATTATATATATATATGTATGTATGTATGTGTGTGTGTGTGTACATATACATATATACCTATATATATATAAATTCATGTTTTTCTATATACATTACTTT